TTGCCACGTCCTGGCTACAGAAACTGCACCCGCGTGGCACTGGGCCGGCGGCTGCCGCCTTCCGGGAGTCCGTCTGTCCGTCTGTCCGTGGCTGTCTCCCGCCAGAAAGCTCTGAGGGCAGCAGCACCGCGCAGGGCGGACAGCCGCGCTCTGGGGCCTCCGAAGCGGCTGACGCAGGCCCGGAGCGCCCTCCGCCTGGAGAAGGCCCCCGTCCACCCCGAGTGGGCTCCCGCCGGGCAGGCGCGAAGCACAGCTGCTGGCCAAGGCGCTGGCAGCAGGCGGAGGAGGGTCCACAGTGGCTTCTCAGTGCCTGCGACCCTGTCCTCAGGGGGCGCCCTCAGCCCCCTCTTCTGAATGGCCGCTGGCCCGGATGACCGGGCCGGGGTCCATCTGCCCCTTTTTCTCTAGGTGAATCAAGCACCAACCTCCCACGCGCTGAAACAAACGCGCCTTTCTTACACCCGCGTACTGAGGGCAGTAAAATGGAAGTCCCCTCGAGCCCGCCGCCCTGTCCTCTGCGGGCCTCGCCTGGACGCCTGCATCTCAACACCGCTGGCAAGATGCTTCGCACGCTGGAGCAACCATCCGACTCGCTGACCATGAAAAACAGTCTGCGAGACAGCACTCCCGCCTGGGAAGGAGCGCCTGCCTCTGAGACCGTGGGGAGGGGCCCTGGGCCCCGCTCGGGGCAGCCCCCGCCTCCAGGGTGGCCTCTGGCGGTCTGGTCCCGAGTCCCAGACACCGGCCCCCAGGGCACTGGGACGCAGGGAGACACTGAGGACTCCGTGTCGGGCCTCAGGGGGTCTGGCCTCCCCGGGGGAAGATGCCGACCAGCCCACGATGTGGGGGTGGGGGGTGCGGGGGGGAGCCCTGCCTTGCGGGAGTGAGGAGCTCAGACCCCATCACAGCACAACAGTGCGCTGGGCAAGGAGCCCATGTTCCTGTCAACACCCCCACTTGCAAAAGAGAATATTCGCCTTGCCCCCAAAGCGCTCTCCTACAAAGGTAACCCACGTGCCAGCCGTGGGCAGCTGCCCAATACCCAAGGGGCACCTGCTGCAGCGTCAGAGGCAGCCGTGGAGGGGGAGCCCTGGGGAGACACCCCGCTCCCCGGGGCTGGCCCACGGAGGCGGGGCAGGAGCCGCACAGGCTGAGCCTGGCCCCCGTCTCGTGAGCAGAGGGCAGCCGTGCCGAGGCTGGATTCGGGCCGCTCTGCAGACCCGCCTCCTGGCCTAACTTGGGGCGTGTCACTTAGAACCCGAAGACAATGTACACTGAATTAAGGCACAGCGAATATATTTCAAACCATGAGTTCAGAATGGTAAGACTTCACATGCTCTCTTTTGTTAGTCTGGAAGTTAGTGAGGATCAGAATCAGCCGTGCACCCCACATTCCTGTGTTAATGGGAACGCGGAGACCCCCCCC